GCGGCTGGGCGTCTAGCAGCAAGCGGAGCCGCGGCTACTCCGACGCGCTCGCCGTGGCCTAGCTTTATAGCCCCGGGATCAGGCCGGCGTTGCCGAGCAGCGGCGTCAGCCCCCACGTGGGAAGCCGACCCTCCCCCGCCCCTCGCGCCGCCCCGCCACCGCCTCGCGCCCGCACGCCCGGGGGGACCCCAGCAGCGTTGCGCTCCGGCAAGACAGCCCTTTGGAGAGGGCTTTAAAGAGCGCGCGCCGGGAGTGGGAGCGGCCCCTGCTGGGAATTGGGCGAGAAGCCCCGGGCCGGCGCACCACAGAGCGATGGGCACCCGGGAGTCGCTCCTTGGAGCTGGGTCTTGGGAGGAAAGAGTGTCGGGAACCCCCCGCGGCGTGAATCGGGAGGCTCAGCCCACAGGACTGGCCGCATCAGAGCAGTCCCGGCCGGGCGGCCACCCTCGCCAACTGGTGCTCCTGTTGGCCCCGACGCGCGGGGTCCTTAGGAGCCGCGGATTCTGATCGAGCCCCAGGGGCAGAATGGGCCGCGCCCACGCCGGAGGTGTCTAATTAGAGTTCACAGCTCTGCTGGAGGAGAAAGGCGGCGACGTGTCTCCGCACCGCCGAGCTGTCTGCGCGCCACGTGTGGCCCGGGGTCTGCGCCGCGCCCCCTCAGACCGCGGTGGGGAGGGGTCCGGCGGCTGGCGGAGGCCGCGCGCCCCGGCAGAGCGAGGGCGCACTGACACCTGCTGGCCGCTCGCCGCCACGGCTGGAAGTGTTCCCCGGGCACCAGGCGCCGCCTCCCTCCTCTGTGGTTCTAGGCCTCCAGCGCCTTTTCCTCTCTCAGGACAAGTTTGGGTCCAAGCTTGAGACTCCAGATTTTAAAATGAACTTTGTCCCATTGCAGAAATCTTCCTGAAGCATATACCCGGTGTGTCTATCCCCAGCAGGGTAGTGGTTTCGTCTGATAAAGTCGACGACAGACCCACAGCCCAGACCCACAGCCCCGGACCGGCATACACCACCCTGAGCCTCACAGCCCGCTCCTCCGCAGATCCTAGAGGCGGGATGCCGCCGATCTGCCTCTTGTCTCCAACTCTGCCCAACCTTGAAGTCTTTCTTGAGGCACAAACGCTAGAGTCCATTCCCCACTCTGTCCCCATTGCAGGCACAAACACACCCCATCTCCAGTAAGACGAAGGTACTGGCAAAGGGAAGAACATGTTTCATGTTCTCACTGAGAACAGTATGGGGATGAATGACACGTTTTTGTGTGCGTGCAAGATGTCCAACGAGAGATTTCAACAGCAGTTAGCGCACCAGCCTGCTCTGTGCTACCCGCACTTTTCAGATGAGCAGGCAGGCAGTTTAAGGGTAAGACCCAGGAGGATAGGAAATGTCAGCAGGAGAGAGATTAGGCCGAAAGAACTTTTATTTAAGTAACTAACAAGCCAACCTATGTTATGTAATCACCTAAACTGGGAGTTCCCAAGATTGACCAGATCACCTCTCTGCCCAGCAAGGTGCAGCATAGGTCTGGCTGGCGTTGGGACTAAATTAAGGACCTTGAGTGTCACCTTCAAGCCCAACTTAGATCCAGGGCCCCTGTCAGCAATGCACGTTGCTGCTGCTGCTTTGGAAAGCAGGTATCTCAAGATTTACTTTTCAAAGTACTTCGCAGGTGTCTTCTTGGGCTGTGGTACCTTTGTCTCCCAGTCTTTGCCCCAGTGTGCTGGCCTGCCCTTCCAGTCTTACCTCTGAGAGCTGTTCTAATTCTCTTTGCTGGGGAATCTAAAGAAAGCTGAAAAGTCAGAACGTTCTCCCTTGTTGAGTCCATGGTTCTATGAATCCCTGCCTGGAGACTCTTGGCAGGGGGCAGGTGCAATGACCCTCAGCTCAGTTGGAAATATGACTACTCTCATTTTTGCACAGCAACCAGGAGTCTCAACCCTCCAGGATGATGCTAAGGGAGAAAAAAAAAAACAAAGCCCATGGGAATCTGAGGTTCACCGTGTTGTTAGTGGAATCTGGAGATTGAGTCTTGGGAGTTCCCTCACTGCTCCATCTCCTCACAAGCTGTGCTCCTTCCTGGCTCATTTCAGAAGCAAAAAGGGAAATGAAAACAGAGACCAAAATGCTTTCCATTCTTGCAATCTCGGCTGCTAACCTGTGTGTAACACCTCTTGTCACACTTTCTAAATACTTCCCAAACAACCAGCTGGGGTCTTGATTCCTGGATTTGCAGGCTTTTCTCGTTGAATGTAAATAGGCCATTCCAGGGGTAGGGGTCTTGAGGCCAATACACAATAATTATGACTACTAATAATAACACTGTCTTATGTTCAGTACTTTCTATGCATCGTGTTGTTAGCTGCCATCAAGTCAATCCCAACTCATAGCGACCCCACGTGTGCAGAGTAGAACTGCTCCATTGGTTTTCAAGGCGGTGACCTCTCAGAAACATATCTCCAGGCCTGTCTCCCCAGGTGCCTCTGGGGGCACTCAAACCACTAATCTTTGGGATAGTAGTTGAGTGTTTGACCATTGCACTGCCCAGGGAGGGACACCCTGTATGTGCCATTTGCAGGGCTATATAGAGAGCCCTTGTCTATGCAAACTTCTTCCTCTTGTCATAGATGCCTTATCACCAAGGGCTCTGCCTCCTTTGTAGACAGCCAGGGACAGGATCCCTGAGCTTTGAAAAGCTTTGTGAACACCATTATTTTCTGCTGGAAGATTTAGTGCTGTGCTAGCTGAGTGAGCCTGTGCTGAACAAGGTCTGTCAACCAGGACAGTACGTTTTAAACAGGCTTGTAAATCAATATTGCTTGGGAAGGTAAAATACACCTAGCCATGGCCACCGGGGGAAATTACGATTCGTTAAATCTGCACTGGAATCCTGAAGGTGTGTTTTGGGGAGATGGTGAGTGCACATTCTGCTTCTGACCCACTGAGGGGCCAAATGCCTTGGTGGGGAGACTATCCAAATTACCTGGGGACTATTAGCAGATGTCTTTAAAGTGCTGAAGAGCAAAGATGTCTCCTTGAAGAATCTGTTGTTGTTGTTGTTATGTGCCGTCGAGTCGGCCCCGACTCATAGCGACCCCTCCTTGGGTTTCCGAGGCAGTATCACTACGGAAGTAGGATTGCCCAACCTTCCTTCTGAGGAGTGGCTGGTGGGTTTGAACCGCCAGCCATCTGGTTAGCAGGCAAGTGTCTTAGCCACTATGCTACCAGAGCTCCCCTTGAAGAATAAGATGAGTCTAATCCAAGCCAGGGTATTTTCAGTCACCTCAGATGCATATGAGGGCTGGACAATGAATAAAAAACACCGAAAAAGAATTGATGCTTTCAAGTTGTGGTGTTGGCGGAGAATGCTGAAAGTACCGTGGACTGCTGAAAGGACTAACAGGTCTGTCCTGGAGGAAGTGCAGCCAGAATGCTGCTTGGAGGCGAGAGTGGCCAGACTTCGTCTCACCTACTTTGGTCATGTTTTCAGAAGGGACCATTCTCTGGAGAAGGATGTCATGCTTGGTAAGGTGGAGGGTCGACAAAAAAGGGAGAGACCCTCAACAAGATGGATTGACACAGTGGCTGCAGTGATGGGCTCAGATATAGTAGGGATTGTGAGGCTGGCACAGGACCAGGCAGTTTTTCATTCTGTTGGACATCAGGTCACTATGAGTCAGAGATGACTCGACAGCACATGACAACAACATTATTAAACCAAACAGAGCTAGAAAGAGTGGGCCCCACCTTGAGAATCAGTGCGTTACTGGGCCAGCAGAACTACTGGGAGGGTGCCATAGTCCTCCGGGGAGCTGGTGCAGAACAAGCAGTCAGGAACAATGTGGAGGTTGGCTGTGACGGCTGAGGAGGAGAAACTTCTGGGCACACCACTAGGGCTCCATTGTTAGGGCTACTAGTAGGAAGAAAAACTACTGTTCGTTAGTGACCATGTGGCAGGCGCAGTGCTGAGCAGTTTATGTACTATACCTTCCACAATACACTAACCTACTGCTGTTGACCCCCCAGCCACTCCTCGGAAGGAAGTTGGGCAATCTACTTCCATAGTGATACTGCCTCAGAAACCCAAGGAGGGGTCGCTACGAGTCGGGTCATACTCGACGGCATATAACAAGCACAACAACTGCTGTTGAGTCAATTCCAACTCACAGCAACCCTATAGGACAGAGTAGAACTGTCCCCTGGGTTTTGCAAGGCTACAACTCTTTATC